CATGGACATCAACTGAGCTGTGGTCAAGTTGCCGTTGGTGGCGTTCTCGTGTGTGGGATGCAGTTGCCTGTCAGCTCAATTCACACTAGGGCAAAACTTACACAAGCTCGCCGTGTGACTTCAACGAGATCTCATCACAAGGTTATAAAATAACATTATGTTCTCTCTATGGTCATCGTGATTATATTTTCGCAGCTCTGGTTTGTTTTCAAGTTGTCTGTTTCACGCAAGCACTGGATTGTTACACTTGCAGTGACACTGGTTCAGGTGCATGCCGGGATAGCTATAATGACACAGCAGAAACATGCAATGCTCTTCTCGACAAACCACGGTGCCAGGTAAGTTGGTGGTGATTACTACAACCATGGTGTCAGGTAAGTTGGTGGTGATTACTACAACTATGGTGCCAGGTAAGTTGGTGGTGATTACTACAATCATGTTGCCAAGTAAGTTGGTGGTGATTACTACAACCATGGTGCCAAGTAAGTCGGTGGTGATTACTACAACCATGGTGCTAGGTAAGTCGGTGGTGATTACTACAACCATGGTGCCAGGTAAGTCGGTGGTGATTACTTCAACCATGGTGCCAGGTAAGTCGGTGGTGATTACTACAACCATGGTGCCAGGTAAGTCGGTGGTGATTACTACAACCATGTTGCCAAGTAAGTTGGTGGTGATTACTACAACCATGTTGCCAAGTAAGTTGGTGGTGATTACTACAACCATGTTGCCAAGTAAGTTGGTGGTGATTACTACAACCATGGTGCCAGGTAAGTTGGTGGTGATTACTACAACCATGATGCCAGGTAAGTTGGTGGTGATTACTACAACCATGTTGCCAAGTAAGTTGGTGGTGATTACTACAACCATGTTGCCAAGTAAGTTGGTGGTGATTACTACAACCATGTTGCCAAGTAAGTTGGTGGTGATTACTACAACCATGGTGCCAGGTAAGTTGGTGGTGATTACTACAACCATGGTGCCAGGTAAGTTGGTGGTGATTACTACAACCATGATGCCAGGTAAGTTGGTGGTGATTACTACAACCATGTTGCCAAGTAAGTTGGTTGTGATTACTACAACCATGTTGCCAGGTAAGTTGGTGGTGATTACTACAACCATGGTGCTTGGTAAGTTGGTGGTGATTACTACAACCATGTTGCCAAGTAAGTCGGTGGTGATTACTACAACCATGGTGCCAGGTAAGTTGGTGGTGATTACTACAACCATGGTGCTAGGTAAGTCGGTGGTGATTACTACAACCATGTTGCCAAGTAAGTTGGTGGTGATTACTACAACCATGGTGCTAGGTAAGTCGGTGGTGATTACTACAACCATGGTGTCAG